AAAGGAAATCACAGCGTGTCTGGATGCCTTGTCTTTAATAGTTTCCCACTTAAGCTTAGCATGTACCTTAAAAATGGGTGAGTTGGAAGGGCTTAAAAATCAAATCAAATGTGTTTCAGAAAATGACTCCTTAAATGCTGAAAGTTTAATAAGATTAGAAGAAAATTTATCAGATGTTATTAAAACAAATAATAAAATTTACAGAAATACTAAAAAAATATTAGGTAATGAAAACGCAATAAGTAAGAATGAAATTAGTAACAGCCCAAACGAGTCAATTGATGGACTCATTGGAAATAACGATAGCAATAATACGAACAATTATGCCTCCTGTAAAATACCACTAATAAACGATTTCCGGATGTCCAATGCTATTTCTATTACTCCTGATCCTAATGGAAAATTTAAAGACGTGGAGGAATTTAAATCCCAAATAAAGCTCTAGCTAGCTCTTCGGCCTAAGAGCAAATGTCTACAAATTGATAAAATTTTCAATACCAAACAAACAGGCTTAGTAGTTATAGCGGGGAGAGATTCCGATAAGAAAGCTTTACTTAAAGACCCAGATATATCGAAACTCGGCAAGGTATCCGAAACAATTAAGCTAAGGAATCCACGCGTAATTATAAAAGGCGTACCCAGGAAAGTAGAAGACGCAGAATTTACAATCGTAGAACTGATCGAATGTATCTTGGCTCAAAATGAAGAAATTGAACTAGGCCACCCTGAAGAGTGCAAGCTTGCATTTTACACTGGTAGAAGATCGGAACCGAGAGTCAACATGGTCCTGGAAGTCAGCCCACGCTTAAGAAATATGCTCGTATCCAGAGGACACTTATACTTAAATTTAGATATTTGTAAAGTTGAGGACTTTAAAGATGTGACAAGGTGCTTTCGTTGTCAAAGATTTGGGCATGTGCAGTCTAAGTGTAAGCACGAGGAACGGTGCTGTCACTGTGGTGCTCATGGACATAAAGTAGGGAATTGTCCAAGTTTAGACCAGCCACCAAAATGCGCGAATTGTCAGCTGAAACATAGATCGTCGTTTTTTCGATGCCCAAGTCGGAGTGAGGCAATTAAATGGTTCATGAATCTCACTGACTATGGACGACAACGTTAATCAATGTCCCCGCTGCGACAGGAATTTTGGCACTCGTTCGGGTATGGGTCTTCACATCAAGCGTGCTCACCCCGTCTTCTTCAATGATAATATTAACACGGATCGGAAGAAGGAGCGTTGGGCTAGAGAGGAGCTTCAATTACTAGCTCTGAATGAAGCATCACTGATCGCTCAAGGAGGAAATGTAAGGATTCGGGACCTTGTCGGTATGCAACCCGGTAGGTCTATATGGAGTATACGAAAGGCTAGAACAAAAGAACAATACCAGGATCTCCTTCAGAGAGTCATGGAAGGACGTAACGATGAAGCCGCAGATCCTAACCCAGCTGTTGCCATAAATAATGGCACCACGGATAAGCAGGAATTTCTGAAAGCAGCCAGAAACTTATGCCAGGATATAACTGATCCTAATTCAGTATTGGCTTCACTTTTGGAGATTGCAGAGGAGGAGGAAGACATTTCGGAATCTCTTAACGCATGGCTCGATTCAGTGGTGAATGTGAAAAGCAACATTTCAAATGAATCTGGTGAAAGATCATTGCCCGCTAATTCTACTGTCAGAAGAAGGGAGCAGTTCAAGAAGATTCAAAAATTATGGACAAGAGATAGGAAGAAAGCGGTTTGCGAAGTGTTCAACGGTACCACAGCCCGTAACAAGCACAATATTGAGCAACTCGAATCTTTCTGGAGGCCGCTGATGGAGAGAGCATCATGTCCCAATGTGCCGGATACGCCAATTCCGCATCAGAAGTTGTTTACATTATGGCTGCCAGTTACAGTTGATGAAGTCAAATTAAACGCTATGGACAAAAAATCATCAGCGGGACCCGATGGTATCACTGTAAAGCAGTGGGATTCTGTTGCCCCCTTACATAGGGCCATATTTTATAATATATATCTGTCCAACCCACCCCACTTACCAAAGTTAACTGCGGCCCGGACTATATTCATTCCGAAAACGGATGATCCCGCTGGTCCTTGTGAATATAGACCCATCACAGTTGCTTCAGTCCCTCTTAGACAAATGCACAAGATAATTGCAACTCGTCTAAACGAAATGGATTTGCATCATGTAAACCAGCGAGCGTTTATTGCTTCCGATGGCACTGCAGAAAATATATTCTCATTACAGTCAATAATAGACGACTCTAAAATGAGAAAGAAGGAAATCCATGTAACGTTTATGGATATTGCCAAAGCTTTTGATAATCTGAGCCATAATGCACTTTATAGAATCTTAGAATGGAAGGGTATGCCAGCTGGACTTATTGGTTACATGAAGGGGCTATATAGCAAATGTTATACCCGCATTACAGACAAAAAGCAGCATACGGATCCTATTGTATGCGGAAGAGGTATAAGGCAGGGTGACCCATTATCCCCTAGTCTCTTTAACATGGCAATGGATTGGGTAATCCATTCCCTTCCAGATGGAATAGGCTACGATATGGGAGGAACAATGGTAAACTGCCTGGCATTTGCAGACGACCTAGTCTTAATCACATCCTCATCGAAAGGCATGAAAAGATTACTATCGGACGCAGCTGCAGCTATTCAAGATCTGGGAATGGAATCCAACCCAGCCAAATGCTTTAGCTTTTCTCTCGTCAAGGCCGTCAATTCTAATGTTATGAAGGTTGATAACAGATATCATTTCGTAGTAAATGGCGCTAAAATCAAGCAGTTGGGTATCTTGGATTGCTGGAAATACCTAGGAGCGAAATTTTCGTTGAACAACATGAATGCCGAAGGGATTATCGATGAATTATCATTATTGCTGCACAAAACAAACACTGCATCCCTAAAACCGCAACAAAAATTAGTGACTTTGAGAACTTATCTCATCCCGAAATTCATTCATCTCCTCACACTGAGCCCAAGCAAAATGAACGAGTTGAGAAAGTTGGATATCTCAACGAGAGCGGCAATACGTTCCTGGCTGCGACTGCCTCAGGATACCCCTTCTCAGTATTTCCATTCTGCTTGTACTGATGGTGGTTTGGGAGTAATGAGCTTTAGCAGTGCTATACCCTCACTCAAGCTCGCGAGGTTACGACGTATGGAGTACTCTGGTTGCCCAGTAGCAAGAGCCGCCTATCATTCCTCCTTTATCACTAAGGAAATGAGAAAACTCACAAGCAACCTCACGAAAATGGGCCTCAACGCGGAAAACACTTCCAGTGAAGAACGAAAGAAAACGCTGTCCATGAAGTTATATCGTAGCGTTGATGGTAAGGCATTAAGGGAGTCAAAAAACTGCCACCCATCAACTCATTGGTTGACAGACTACGCGGCTCCGATAACCGGACGGACCTTCATACAGACGGTAAGAACTCATATAAATGCCCTCGCGACCCGAGTGAGATTATCCAGAGGACGTAGGGCTTTTATGCCGACCCAATGCAGAGCTGGGTGTCCTGCAAGCGAAACTGCCAGCCATATTATTCAACATTGCATTTTGTCTCACGGTGGTAGAGTGCGCCGGCATGATACAATAGTGAACATGTTGGAAATTGCTCTCCAAAAAAAAGGATACAGGGTCACAAAGGAGCAAATGTTTGTTGGTAATAGACGAAGGTGGAAGCCAGACCTGGTGTGCTCAGGACTAAGCGGACACTTCATTATAGATGCACAGGTCGTCGGGGATAACCCTAGCACCACTCACTGGAACAATGTCAAAGCCAATAAATATAGGGACCTAGATTGCAGGATGGCGATCGGGCGTACACTGGGAGTGCCAGGCGTGGACATAAAAGTACTGCCGCTCACAATAACTTGGAGAGGAATATGGTGCCGAAGATCTTTCCAAGACATGGATATGTTGGGAATTCCCAAGAGAACGATGAACGCTATTACAATAAGAGTCCTTAAAGGGTCCCACATGAATTACAGTAATTGGTTCAGGCTGCTTCCTCGTTTATAGCATGATACTCAATGATTATATCGATGTCATAATTTACATTTTTACGTTTTGTTTTATTTATCTTTATTTTTTATTTTATTTATCTATTTATTTATTTCATTTTTATTCGTTTAATTTTATGTTTATTTATTTACTTTTTTTTTATTTTTTTTTTATTTTATTTATTTATTTTATTTTATTTATTTATTTTTATTTTTTTTTTATTTATTTTTTTATTTTTTTATTTATTTAGATATGTACTATAGTACTACTTTTTTATGACTTATATTGCGGAGGGATTGCTACCTCCGTGGTTTTTAAAATTACTTTATATATAGTGTGTATTTTATGTATGTATATGAATGTATGTATATTTTTCTTTTATACTTTTATCGACGCAGCTGCTTTTTGTATGTAAATGCAATGCTCAGTATATTATAACTTAATATTAGTATGTTTTCTTTTTTTTTTTTTATATATGATTCTTGGATCCCAATATCCAAGATAAAACGTTACGATGGTGAAGGTAGCACCAAATTGAATTGGAAATTGAGAAAGGTCTGGAGTTTTGTTACTTCGAAAAATATATTAACTATGTATGAACTACCAAATAAATAAATAAATAAGTTGACAGAATGACTAATTCCAATTCCAACATTTTTGATTATTAATTTTAGGTGAAAATTTATGGGAAAATTTCTAATGGGAAAATTTATACTTTTATTCACAGTTCTATATTTCAATATGCAATCAATATAAATTTTCCAAATAGAAATATCATTAAAATGAAATTACTCAAAAATGATGAATTTGGAGTTAGTCATTCTGTAGACTGGAAGACTCATACATAAATTGGTTGTTAGGGCATCGGACATCGTTTTCACCCTCTAAATCTGTCGGAAAACCCTCATGAATTTCGAGATTGAATTCACAGAAAAGAATCACTCTGATTGGGAAAAGAAAAAAAAAACAGACTTTATTCACTGAATTTATTTTGCTACATGTTGAATTTTTTTTCTTCAGATAATATATGTCTTATGAACCTGTTGCACTGACGATGTTGTAGTAGGAATAAGCTGAGTTGATTATCTACAAGACAAATATATGATTAATACATAGTGTAAAATTTAAATTTGGTAGTTTGAATTCAACTCTTACTGACAATTTTTTAAATATGGAACGAAACAAATTCCATTATTAAAGATATTACAACATAAATTCTTTTAAATATCTCAAAAATACCAAACAATCGCTTACGTTTGCATATGTATCGTAACATATCTTAATTAGGCCGCAAGCAGTAAAAGTGACAGGTTCCAGGGTCTTTACTAAAAGAATCCTGATGTTCATGCAGAATCTTTTGTTACAATGATACCACTTAATGCCATAAATAGCAGTCCTTATATCTTCATTCTGAAATAGCATTATTTATTGTTAGTATTATTAACTTTCTTAAGGTTTTTTCAAAGGAGAGAAACCAAATGTGTTTGTAGGCAGAAAAAAGAAAGCACAGGAAAAGAGAAAACTTGAGAAGTTTCAGGAAGCCCGTGAAAAGAAACTAGAAAATTTTGCAAAGGTGTAAATGAAATAAAAAAGAATTCAAAACCAAAACTGAATAATGCAGATAGAAAGAAGGAGATCTGATTGGAGAAAAGTTCGACATTCTCGAAAGGTGGAATCAGTATTTGAATTCCTGAATCAAAACAATCACTAAAAAAACATCTGAAGAGAGTACCGACGGATGTAGACTCCTTGGTAAGGCACAGGAAGAAGTAGAAGATCCAGAGAAGGAAAATGTTTTACATAATTATGTCGATGAACAATCATTAGCTCGGCTAGATCACTCCAGAGATGCTAAAATATAATCGCTGTTATCTGCGGAAGGAAATTTATGACCTAATTTGGGAAATATGGATGGAAGAATACCTGAAAATTGGACAAGAACAGCAATATGTCCATACACAAACAAAGAGACAAGCTAGTACGTGAAAATTATAGAGGCATTGCTCTATTAAGTGCAACTTTTAAAATATTAGCATTGTTTTCAGTGTGATCCAGCAGTGGAGACAGGAAAGGATTTTAGAAATCTATGCCAAACCTATCTAAGGTAAACCCAAAAACTGGTCAGAATGAAAAAAAAATGAAGCTAGTGAAGACTATCTGTCGAATGGAGCTAAGAAATTCGTTGTTTGAAGAATTTGAGATAAGTGGACACACTGGCTTGAGACAGTGTGATTCTCTATCTTTCCTTCTTTTTAATCCATCCCTGGAAGTTGCTATTTGCCAATTAGAACAAACCAAGAGGAACTATCTATAATCGTTTGTCTCAACATCTGACTATGATGTTGTCATTACCTCTAAAACCCAAGCAGCATTATCAGATACATTCCAGGGATCCGAAGAGGTGGCGGCTAAACTGGGCCTAACAGTTAATGCAATAAGACGCTATGTATGAAAAGTTCAAGAAGAGAAAAGGAAGTGAGTAAGGAAATAACTTTCAGAGGTCACAACTTTAGGTCTGTAAAAACAAAATAAAAAAACCTGTACTACTACAATCCTAAAGAGTCTTGGGTTCAGTACTATTTAGGGAAAGCACTGTTTCTTGGTCTACAGTTGTGCAAAGGTTATTTGCCCGAGATCACGCTCAACCGCCAGGTTTTTCCTCTTAGCCAATTATTTTAATTAAGGGTATCCACTTTATAGAGGCTGGGTGTTCCCCAGGAGGGTCTACCTACCCAAGGTCACCCCACGACCAATGAAACAGAATAAATAATTTTTCTGACATGAGCCGAAATGCGAATCTGGGATTTTTAGCATAGGAAGTTCAGTACCCTACCACTGAGCTACCACACTCTCTAGGTCTGTTAACCATTTCAAGTATCTAGGGAGCATGGTTATATATAATAACAAATTCGACTGAAATAAAGGCCAGAATGGCAGTAGGAAATGGTATTTTGTGGAAAATTTGATTGTACCCTTAGAACTTTTTTTTTAATACATAATGTTATTCAAATTGAGATAATGTTCTAAAAACGTTAATAGTCAAATCAAACGATTCGAATGATCAAAATCAAAGGATCGCTCAAAAATACATTGAAAACTAGTTTTAAAATACTTCTATTGAAGTTGTTATTAAAAGAAGTATTAATTATTACCAAATCTGTAATAGATTGTCCCAAAGAAGACAGAGTACCAAGAAAAGCGATCTCAGTTCCACAAAGCACTAAAGACGCAATGGTGTTTCCAGGTAATACTTTCCACTGAAAATAAAATTATTAAGTTCAAACTATTCATACAATTCTTAAGAAGATACGATGCAAAATAATATACTTACGAAACTAGAACCCAGCATAGCAAGTGCTATTATCAAAGCAGCTACGAAGAAAATGGCGAACAAAGGCATTGAAGCAAAATCGTTCAGCTCACTGATATTACTAATTAAACAAAAATATAATTTTACGATCTGATGTTTTGAATGAATATGTACAATTTAAGATAATTATATTGTAATGATCGGGAGAGAATTACTTCAGAACCGAAATGGTAAAATTACAAAACAATTTATTGAATTTTATTTAATGAAATCGGATCGGACAAAAGAAATATTTTTCAAATATCATAACAAGGCCACGAATAACTAAAAATCACTGCAGTTTTTTTTTTTTTTTTTTTTTTATATTAACTCATGAATCATCAGTTTGGAGACAAAATAATTAATAGATCTTTGAACCAATACATGAGTGGATTGTTCATTCATACTACAAACATATTCTCTAAAGTACAATATAATCAACTTCTTAATTCTACTTTCAAGAATTAAATATATGCTTTCAATGTAAATAATAAACATATAAATTTTTAAAAAATTATCACCTCAAAATGACTTTGTGATGTTCAACACATCTTTTTAAACAGATATCCATACATTTAGAAAATCTTTTGTCCCTGTACAAATCGTAGTCATTGAGTTTTGGTTTTGGACCATAATTGGCCTCGTACATAGACAAAGCCCTCCCCTCAATAGTATCCAGCCTATGTATCAGAATCTTCATCTGGAGAGACAGACTGGACACCATAACTATGTACATGTATCCACAACCTCCGAAAATAAGACCGCAGAGCATCGCCGATAAGAGTTGATGGGTAAGAGCCACCAGGTATCCTGCAACAGTGGAAGAGTCGAAGACGTAAACCATAGGCAGGGGAAGATTGAAGTTGATGGAAGTTTCGATATCAAAATCAAAAGTCCCATACTTGTCCAAAATCGGAGCCAAGAGTAAGATGCAGACCGCTGCACAAGCGGAGAACATTGGCAAGATCATGAATCTTTTCTTCTGCACCTCTGTAGATTTTTCCAACTCTGTTATTTCATCTGTAGTTTTCTCGTGGTAATCATAAAAGTTTAAATACATCCTAGAATGGTAACGAGCTAAGAAAATGCGATTTTTATTGAAGTGGAAGTTATAAAAGAAAGATATTCCAACAACGAATACGTAGTGGAGGGCTGAACTGAAATAGATGAAGTTGATGTCGTACAACAAGATAGTTGATACGACTAGCCCGATGGAATGGAACAGTAGCGAGGCTCCGATGATGGTGATTTTGAAAAAACTCCAAAAGTAACCAACTTTATTAACATTGGGATACAGGCCGATGATATGAACGAAATTCCGATACTCCCTTTGCATGACTATATCCGAATACTCGTCGCTCGCACCATTCCACTTTTGTAGTACCCTCTCCACACTAGTTGCTATGCCCATGCTTTGTCAGAAGCAAACTGTGATAATACTTTCGGGATATTCTGAATTAATAAATTGGTAGGTGGTTATAGATCGAAATGAAAATACCCAAATAGTTTTAACCACAATATCGACGTTAAAAACTTTTGAATGTAATTTTGTGGTTGTTACCCTGCTGTCAAATAAATCTCTTGAATATTTAATCAGATTATAACAATTCTTACAAAGGACCTATTAAGTTGAACATTCTCTTGCCCAGACATTATTTCTGAAATTTAGGTCATATTTAATAATAAATATATTAAAATAAAATATTTTTGTTCAGAGGGTAAAACTCTGTGCTCCTGTTCTCCCTTGTCTGTGTTCCAACCCCGCTGAGGTAGATAATTATTTATCCTCCTATATCAGCCATGGATCGACCATGTGAACAGAGCCTGCGGGGGCACTCCCAGACCTGTTAATCCAAGGGCCAGATCGAAATTTAAAGATTTATTTGAAGAAAACTTCAACTAGTGATACATCGTTATAATGAGGATCCATAATACTGAATCTGCCGATTGGACAGAGGGTGTTCCAAAATGAAGAAAATTACTCCTGTAATGAATAAAAATTTATAATTGGAAGATGTTTGACATGAAACTGCACACCATCAAGATAATAAAAAAGGATATCTGTGGAAGCTAGGAGGCATCCATAGACAAAATTGAAAATTAACCCCTTTTTTCGGATAGTGATTTTTGGTTTTTGTTAAAAAAGTACTCGAAAAATTATGAGAAGTAGCTCAGGACTTCCACAAGCTATTTGTCGATTTCAAACCAGCCAATGATTCTGTGTACAGGATCTGTCTTTGGAAAACCATGACTGAACTGGGAGTTCTCAGTAAGTTGGTGAGATTGACAAAGGCGTGCACAAACGACACCTAATATAGATACCTAATACAAGGAGAAGTATCTGAAACCTTCAAAATTCGAACGGGCTTAAGACAGAGAGATGGACTATCACCAATTTTGTTTACCTTATCCCTGATGAAGGTAATAAGAACATCTCAGGAAAATAGAGGGGTCCATATTGGAATGAATCATAAAATCCTTGGATACGCAGATGATATAGCTTTCCTTGTTAGTAATCAAGAGGACATTGATAAACTCACCAAGACTCTGATAAAAGAGGCAGAGCAGATTGGCCTACAAGTAATTTAAGACAAAACAAAACATATGATAACAAGGCAAAAATACCCAAAAACATGATTTTTTTACAAATATCAAGGAAACAGCTGGCATAGGAAGATAATTATCATAAAACATTTTATAATGAATTTTATTACTTTTAATTTGATATATCAAAAAATAATATGTTTCCAGAAAAACATGATAAATCACCATGTTGGGAATCTCTTTTAGCAAATATCATGATAACTAGAACACTGATGAATGAATACAATAATTATCTTTGTTTTAGAAGTTTCCATTATGTTTGCTAAAATAAAATCCCAAAAGAATGATTAATCTTCTATTTATCTTTTTCTTTGTATTGTTTATTTTCGGAAGAGAGGGAGGAAATCCCTTGGTTGAGTATGCTCTTGGAACAAAACATCTCCTTGCAAAACCAATCTAGAAACACCAGGGTTTTTTCCTTAAAGGGGTTTAATACAAATGCAAAGTACCAACAAAAATGAGATCATTAAATAATTTAAACAATAAAAGAACTAAGAGAAGTTGAAATGTACTTGTCTTCCAGTAGTTTATTATAATACATAAATACACATAATCTTATAATTTATAAACCATAGATACCGCCAAATTAAACAAAACATAAATAATATGCTCAATAAATTATGGTGGCAGTGTTGCTGCGCTCTCTGCGACAAATCCTCTTATCTCAAACCTCTTAGGCTTTCTCATTAAAAATGTGTACTATTGTAGGCCCAATGTTATTGTTTGCTGTTTTTAAGTAAAATTAGAGCAGTGCTTTGCTTAGTACCTCTATTCATATATTTTAAAGCCTTCTTATTTTTTTTTTTTTTTTAAGTTAATGGGTCAAGAAATAAAATTAGTTTAAATATAGGAAATTAAATATATATGAAAGATAATATATTTTTAGAAACTATTATACACTTTTTATAAAAATTAAATTAGAAAAATTAACTTTTTAAAGGATAAAATATTCCTATAATTATTAAAAATGGATGGAAAATACATTATCATGATTTCATTGACGTTCAAAACTAGGGAAATGTAATTGAAATTAATAAATAGTGATTTTTTATTATTAATTTTTTTTTTTATTTTGCTTACTTGGTTCTTTTCAAATTAATTATGTAACAACCGTAATTTTATGAAGGATATACTTTCTTATATTTTATTTTATACTCCATAAAAACGAATTATTTTTTTATAATGACGGCAACAATTTTTTTAAAATATTGTTTTCTTCAAAATTTAAAAAAAAAACATATATACAATCATGATTTTATGAAGGAAATAATCATACTCTAATTAAAGAAGATATATTTGCAATTTATTTGTCTATAAAGCAACAGAAGTTTAATATTACATCTTACATCAGAAGTTTAATATAAATAATAACACAGTAAAAATAATTCTAAAACAAATGTAAACTTCATTCATAAAATATAATATAATATAACTTAGCATACATCATAAAAAATTATGTACAAAGTACGAGGCTGGTCGATCCTCGTACCTCATACAATACGTCATAACCTCATACAAACATGAGGATCTTCATATAAACAGCAACACTGTATGATGGGCCAAGAAGTATTAAGTTATTAGTAGGATTGTTTTACACCAAAAATATGTTATTATACAAACCTAACACCCAAAACTCATTCATTTAATAGGATGGGAATTCTAAACCTTTATGAAGGTATTAGGAATGACCAAAAACATAACACAAACACCGTAGAACTAACATATAATATAATATAAGATCATTTATTTACAACATTAATACTAAATAAACATTGAATAACAAAATATAAAAGCCAGTTACAAAAAAAAAAAGAAAAAAAATAATAATAATTTATTCTCCTTCAGCAATAAAAAATTTCACTGAGTCTTCGAACAACAAAATCCTCATTTTTTAATTGATTGATGAAAACAAACCTGAACATAAAAAAAGTAATAAAATAATTTGATAATAATTTACAGGATATGATGAATTAAGCATAGGTCAGTATAGAGAAAAAGGAAAACTAAAGATAAATATTTTTTCATGTATATAAAATATTAATTTACAATTGTTTGATGTTTATAGATATGTTTTTCCCATCATCAGTTATATCTCTTTCTTTGTTGTGCTCCTTTTATTATTTTACAGAATTTGATAATTACTCTTCTGTAGTTTTACATATTCGTCAGCAATAAACAATAATAATAAATTTTAAAAGGACCTGATGATATTCAAAACAATAATACCTAAAAATTTAACATTCTAAAATCAGCCAACTAAAGCATCATTAAAAACTGAGAAAATATATACACAGCTATTGCCTCTGAATCTGCTTGATCCTCAAACTTTACATAGCAACAAATTGAAGAAATTGAGATTTTTAGTGTAAGAGATCCATAAATGATAGTTCATCTCAAGCTAGGCCTTTTTTTTTTTTTTTCTCAGGCAAGGTTAATTCAAAATAGATTTTTTAATTTATCTATTTTTACATGATAAACTAAAAATATTTTTTTTTATGCTAACTCCTTTCTACTTTGAAACAGTCAAAACACAAATGGAGAATTTTTTGGAGAATCAGATAAATTGAACTTGACATTTTTGACAAAATGATATTTGTTAACAACACCCACCTTGAGGATTTGGTCCCTCACTGAGTTCATGATAACAAAGAACTACTGTATTTTTCTAATAATTCTTATTGTTATAAAAGAATCTAATATTATATAAGTATTCAAAATTTTAATTAATACGAACTGGAGGATTCAGTCTTCCACTGATATCATATTAACAAAGAACTATTGTATATTTCTATTAATTCATAATGTAATTAAAATTAAAACAAAAAATTAAAAGTTCTGAAACAAGGATTTTTTCAACAACATAAGCTGTTCTTAAAATAATACATAATTTTTAAAAAATTCAAAACTATACCTATGTCTGTTGATTATTTCAAACAAATTGGCTTATGGCATTATCAGAAAAAAATTCATAACATTTGAATCATCTCAGAAAATTTAATGTAGCGATTTTTCACGATATATTATTTACTATATTCCTCTGCTAATTATCCTATTTTTACTTAAGGAAGACTTAATTAATACAAATCTGAAAAAAATGTAAATACATTGAAACAATAATGATAGTTACCAAGACATAAACAAACATGAACATAAAAAATGCCTACCTTCTCAGGTACATCAATATTTTTTATAAAATGAATAGTTTCACTTAAGAATCGGCCAATTCTTTTTTCTGTTTTCTTAGAAACAGAACCAAATCGATTTCTGTTTCTGTCAAGTGCTCAGAAAGAATTTTCCTCAATTTCGTAGTGAATATCTCATCCTTTTCCTTTATCATTGATTTCAATCTTTCAATTTCAATCTTAGAGTTTATTTTCAAATCCTTAAAATTAAATTTAATATAAGAGATAAAAAGAAATTTTTTTTACAATATATACAATATTAAGAATATGAAAAATGTTTAGGGCCGAATTCTTTAATAAGTACAACAAAAAACAATAATACACTTTAATTATTAGATAAACTCTAAATAATATGACACTAATATATAAAACAAAAACAAAAAACTTTACAATTAAATTTTAAAAGATATCAAAATTATTTCATTTCTATAAATGACAGATAAAACTTTATTTAAACTTCTTATTTTTTCATCATTAAATAATTCAATGTAAAACATGGCCACTTGTATTAACTATAGATGATACGTGCAACTGATAATACACCAAAATTGTAATTGAATTATAAATGGAAAATTGTCACACTGAATGAAGAACAAGAAAGATAGTAAGTAATATCCAACAGACAAAACAAGCATGTGAGGATAATGTTAAAAATACATCCTAATAGATTTTATGGAAGAAACAAAATTTTCAGGTCTCAGCCAAGGTATATTTATTAGGTTAGCCAAGGTTTCGACCCAAACATGTGGGTTATCCTCAGGGCTATCGTTTGGAAGTTCTTGTTTGAGTTGAAACATTGGCTAACCTTATAAATATATCTTGAATGAGTCCTGAAAATTTTGCTTTATCCCTATAATTGATCAGTCGACTATTTACCAATCTCTAATAGAATTTAATTCTGCTAAATTCATAATACTGGATCTATGAGAGCAAGAGAATTCAGATAAGGCTTTTTCATCATAAAATAATAACTACATAAATGACTATCTTAATTTATTAAAAAATAAATAAAATATAAAAATAAAATTTTATAATTTTTCACAAAAACAAAGAAAAAACTTGGGAACAAACCTCATACTCCTTTAAAAGTTTCTCACAGTTTTTTTCCATTGTGATGATTTCATTATCCGAGATGCTATCTGAATTTTTCATAATTTTACTATTATTATTTCGACCACTCTTATTTACAGCCTGTTGTGAAAAAATAGAATCAATCACCAGACACAAATTATCACAAATATATTTATTTTCAATCTTCATTTTCAAAAGGAGGATGTCCAAATTACAGCTCATGGGCCAAAACAAGACCACAATTAAAACCAATTCAGTAAGAGTTTACTTAGATTAAAACTTAAAATTTGCAAGATAAAAAATATTAATCAATTATTTTTATAAAACAAACAATTAAAAGAAAATAACTGTTACAAATAATGAATCAGAATATTTCAAATTTAATTAATGGCATAGTTATTTTCGTATGATAACACGTCAATGATGAAACTTAGGACATAGTAGAACAAACAGTGTGGCACTTGGGCTATAATACTGGGAGATCCCCTGCAAAAGGTAATATTTTTTTTTAACAATCAGAAATGCAAAGCAATAAGCAAACTAAAAATATACTTCAAACAATGATACACAACAAACCGTTTGCCAGAAATGGCTAGGTAGAGTGAAAAAAAAAAAAACGATAAACCAGATCGAAAAAGTAAGAAGAAATGTAGTTTTAAAATACTGCATTGTTAATGATGATGTAGCAAAAAGGCTTTCAACTACCACTGAAATCTAAAAGCTACAAAATACTTCTGTAACCTTATAAAAACGAGCTATGTTGTATAACTTATGAAATACATTTGTTGAACAAAAACAAAAAGATTGTTTTATCACTAAATGAATTGGTCAATAGAGAGTACACTTTCTATCTCACTTAGACTCTACAAGTACATAGGACAACTAATGAGAGATCAGAGGAAACTAAATCTAAAAGAAACAACTGAGGTTAAGGGATTTGTGAACTCTCTAGGGGCTATAGATTGTGATGGATAGCTATAGATATAAAAATCTAGAGAGAAATTTTATAAGCTTAAGAAATGAAGTAGAGAAAAGGCAGGACTTGTATGAATTGCCATTCCAGGACTGATAACAGATAATTAAATTAACCATGGACAGCCTAATGGTGGGTATTTAATCTCATAATAATTAAACAAGGACTAAAAAAATCGTATCAACAAAAAAAATTAAAATTCTGAGCAACTAACAAGATAGGGGATCAAGCACACAACCATACATTGCTCTACAACTCAAAAATATCTTATACTTTTTAGATTGTAGAGATGAGAAAATAAAATAGATTACATAAACAGTTTTTGATAATAATAGACATTTTATGTAACGATGCAAGGGCATTATCCATAAAGAAAAATATTTAACAAATGATTTATTAAAGTTATCTCATTCATTTAATAAACTACAACAAACAAAACACATCTGAATTGAAGAAATAAAATATATAACTTAATTAATAAAACAAAATTCTAATAAACTTAGAAAGCATAATTACCTTAAGATCTGAAAATACCTTGGTCTTTTTCAAGTTCTTTCTATGGACAAATGATCTCATTTCATCTAATGTCAAGTTTCTTGTAGGCACAGCATTATACTTTAATCTTCTCTTTGGTTGTGAAGAAATTGAATCAGTTGGTTGTTTAGTGAAGTCATCGGATCGAAAATGAATAGAGCATACAAAACAAACTTCAGCCTTAAAATTTTCAGCTCTGTTGCAAGCTTCAATCCAACGATTACACAGATCAGTACTCCTTGGAAAATAATGGTATGTAATAGGATATCCTTCATACAACAATTTCTTTGTTTTAATATAGTAATTATTACATACACCAACAGCACATGATAGCCTACGAGAAGGCATGCTGAGAATCACACTGCAAACAAACAGCTTAAAAAATTTATTTTGAATTTAGTGAAAAACAATTTTCTTTTTATAAACCATATTCATAGATATTTACGTTTATGTTAATGGTCATAAAATTATGGTCATAAATTATGCTTAGAATCACACTGCAAACAAACAGCTTAAAAAATTTATTTTGAATTTAGTGAAAAATTTTTTTTTTTTTTTGTAAACCATATTCATAGATATTTAAGTTTATCTTAATGGTCATAAAATTATTAAGAGGAAGGAGAAGCCACAATTAATTCATTAATTAACAAAAAGGGCTTAATACAGAAGATAAAAATTGTTATATATATTAAAAAAAAAAGCTTCCGAGCTGAAGCCCTCCTCTCCCAAAATCAAATCCTGGATCCGCTAGTATTTGGGACTGAAATATCTCATGGTAAATTAAAAATCAAAAACAGTAATTAAATCAACAATTGATTTACTTTTAATCAGCTATTTTAGAATACACACCATTAAAATGAATATCTCACATATTTTTTTGGACAGCTCCGATTTTTAGATCAAGTACTAAATTTCTATGAGGATTATTCAAGAATATCATCTGTTCTGATTTTTGTTTAATACATTTGATATTTTTTTTTATGCGGGATGCCCTCAACCAATAAACCATAAAGTTGATAAACTGCCATAGAACGTCCACATTATCAACATAAAGTACTGCCTTGAAGTAAACACAAGCTCTTGTTTTTAAATAGAAATCCTTTTAACCTTGTCAAATTGAAGGAATATTGTGATAACAGCCATGACATTCATGAGGTTACTGATACCTATGAAACGAACTGACGGGCATTCCTTGTTCTTGAAAAATATAAAAGACAAATCAATAAAACTTGTTTGTATATAGTCTTTTAAAATATGTGTTCTTATAAATTTCCAACACTTATAATCAGAGCTGTGGGTGTTTAGAAAAAAAAATATTAAATAAGATACTATAATTTTTATTGTTTTACGATTAATTGCATGTAGGACACACAAATTATTACTTTCCATCATGTTTACAGTCATTTTAAAGTGGTATTAATGATGAGCCTAAAAGATTTATAAGATTTTTGTTCAGTACAGAGTTATACATGTTTGAAACGGTAAGGCAAGGAATATAGTTGGCTATAAAGTGTGGCTTCAGTTAAATATATAGGAAAATAAATAATACATACTTATTAAATAGTACTAACTATATTAAAAATGCCTGACCTGTAGTAAACAAAACTACTCCATAACAAAACCTATCTTAAAGATAACCTCTGATGAAGCAAGGAGGACTAACCGCGAGCAGTCGCGGTCGTGGACCGGCCAGCGAAATAGTACCTTGATAAGACAGCAGCACTCTTATCTGATAGCTTAGGCCGGGTTTACAATTTTCAATAACGAAAAACAAAATAATTTTCTTTTAAAAATGGAATCAAGGAGTTTCAATGACTGCGACCTCCAACTAACTTCACAATCAAATTCATTCTGTCTACTCTCAGTACGTATGGGCCTGAATATTAGGGATAAAATACTTTAATATCTTTGGGTTTCTCACTAAAAGCAATAATATTAAATATATCTGCAAACAATAAAGACAGTGAGATAGAAGCTCTAGGCCTTGTTTTGCTGTTCGATCGATCATTCAGAACTTCTAATGTATGAAATATTTCTTCAAAATGTAAAATGTCTAAAATTGTATTCATAAATGATTTGATCACTGTGCTTCAAAGAAGAGCCTGCGACGTCGCTTTCTCTCCAAGTAGGAGGTTGAACCCATGGTATCGATAGGTTACTTAATTTTCTGGATTTTATAACGTAATAGTAATATAATTTATCATTACTCCTCGATGAAGAACTGATAATTTTTAAGCCATCAATTGAACACTGGTGAAATATTTACGCTTCCTTGACGATAGTTAGGCCCGTCTGTGGAGGTGGAACGAGAATCATTTTTTTTATTATGCCTCTATCGTGATTCCGAACGCATCTCAAACGGATCGCAAAGATCTGATTTTCCAAATGCAACAAAAGTACTTCTATAGATCATGAATAATCGAGAGTAGCGAACTAAAGTAGAGTAATATTTTACAAGGATTGAACTTATCTATTATGATAGTAATCTTGGGGGCAATAACTCTCTAAGGTTCTGTTTTTTAAACAGAAAAGGGCTCCATACCTGGATTTACAGCAACTGAAGTGGAAACATAAAAACACATTTCTTACGTTTATATTAACAGTAATTTTTTTGATCTTTGTCTCCTTAAAATTGGGTGGTGAGGGGATTAGATATATGTCTCTGGGGCATTCTCCTTTGGCAAACGGCTTCCTAGTCTAGTCAGTAAGAGTTAATTGGCTGTTAGGTGGACTCAAAGTGACCTCTTCTTGGATTGCCTGGAATATAGGATAGCTCAGGCCTTCAGTTGCGTGGAGGGTGCTTTCTTGGGCCATAAATATCCAATTATGATATGATTGAAACAAGGTAAAAATTACCTGATAAAAGGAAGTGATTCCAGGGATATCTGTCTTCAGTGTGGAACCAGTTCCTCACTTGCTAGCAGAAAAGGAATCTCAGAATTCAGTAGATGGATCCACTGAAAGTTACTTGAGTGTATCAAAGAATCATAGAATGTGTCTCATGATGCAGAGTAATAGTTGATATTATTAGGAAGGATGCCTCTTGAACCTCTCATGGGACATGATATATTGAAAAATTAGAAGAGAGCATTCTCAACAGGGCTACAGATAAATCTTATTGTAAGAATTGATAAAGATTCCATTAAAAAAAAGAAAGATTATCCACTATAAAGGAATAATGGGATTGATTGTAAATGATTACCCCAAATAGATATATACCTTAAAAAAATATTTCTCCACAGTCCAATCATGTTTAGAAGGGGAGTAGATCCTGTCAGATTATTGGTTTTCATGAATTTAGGCATGGAGGGGCTAGATAGCTTCATAGCCATGGAATGGAAATCAATTCTCTATTACTAAGCTGTAAATATCCTGGCACTTAGAACATATTGGAACAAAGGTAAGAGTAATATGTTTATAGCAGCATTCAATGCGTGAGAAGGGGAGGGGGGATAGAACACCATACATACAAGATTAGCTAAGTAATCATTTTATTACCAGTAATATAATGTAATTATTATCTATATAGTTTATTGGATTTTTCGTACTGTATTTTAAAGTAAATCACTGCAAAATATTGGAGGGGCTGATACCCTTCATAAAATCTAGGAGAGAGAGAAAACATCATACTGTACTCATTGACACTAACATGGAAAAAAACATTTTCTCTCAACTAAAAAACTGAGCTGAAAAACTGTTCTCATTACTCTAAAATAAATGTAGTATGAGTGGATAGGTTTTATGATAGAGGTAGAAATATTGGAAGAATATAAAACAATATATATCAATAGATTCAATACAAAATTTGAGTGATATTTATTGAATATAACTTCAACAGTTTAAAAAAAAAAAAACAAGAAAAGAAAGATATAGTATAACAAAATGATTTAGCGGAAAAATGTACCATACAACAGGACAAAACTGTTATTACAAATTGTCAGGTGTTGTTGCTATATAATATGGGTGATTTGTGACCGTAATATGATAAACTTTGCATTACAATTCATTTAGGCTGTCTGATGACATTTAAGGAGCTGTTCATTTATATACACTTTATATGAAAATAAATAAGAATATAGTAGCTGTAATTTGGTGCTGACAATTTTTCATGCTCACTTGAAAGATATCTACACTAAAAATATAGGCCTGTAAATAGTAATGTGTTTAATTTTTAAAAGACACAGAACCTTTTAGGCAACAATAAATTCTTAAATTTAAAGTCTTTTAATATACAGGAAATTCATTTAAAAAAAAGAAATTAAAAAAATGTTTAAAAACTAAAAAACAATTCCTATCAAAGGGACAATCAGTAGGGGTTTAATAATAATAATAATAATAATACTACACTTACTAATAAAATACACTTATATATACTAGATTAAATACAACCTTGGCCATTTAGGTAATTATATACCAGCAACAACAAATAGCCGATATTGTTTTTGTTTTTTTGTTTCCCTTTAGAATAATAAATTACAATATAATATAATTAAGCCATAAGATAATATCATTATAAACAGATTTACATTTCTTATGACAGAAAGTTATATGATTATAAATGAAACATATATTTTTAAATGAATTCCATTTAAATTCATCTTTTATCTTTTAATTATTTTGTACTTGAATTGTAAACATAAGTATATGCACATGTATATATAAATACACATACATATATATACACACACATATGATTTTGATTAAATATCTCTTTATAATTTATATATATATATATATATATATATATATATATATATACATACAAACACAAAGTCGGTGTAAATATTATACATATATATGTCTAATGTTAACTACATTAATGATATACTATCACAGAGGCATAGCTCTTTCCTCCACCATATATCAGCTGTTAATAGAACATCGCATGTTTCATCATTTATCATAACATATTTTAGTGAACAAATTTTCTTCTTTTAACAGATGGTAAAATAATTTAAAGGAACTAATAGGGTACAAACCAGTATAAATAAGTAATAATAATAAAAAATAAAGACTAAAATATAATATAAAATAATAAGCATAAAAAATGATTTACATTCATTATAAAATAATGTATGAGGAGCTTGCTACCAAAACTGGACATCTCCACTTTGACCGATAATTGAGATTTCAATTAGGGCTGACATTTTACTAAAGCTATGCTTAAGCTAACTCTCTTCTGTGACAAAAATTTTTCCTCCGTAGAATAATAAATGAAACAATTGTGTTTTCGAGTAAACTGAACCTTTGCAAAAGATGAAAACTTAGTTTTAACTGTCACTTCACAAACAAAAGTGGAAATGGAGATTAATTAGCAAACTCCGCATGTATCGTAAAAACCTTATGGA